TCACATTCACTCTGAAATTTTAGAGATTAAAAGAGAAAAATAAAAGGTAAATCAATGTGATTGATTGCTTTGTAAGCCAAGAAATAACATTGTTTATACTGTTAGTTTCTCCTGGTATAAGATACTACCGTGGTGTATCTTATCCCTTGCATCACTTTTCTAAGTATTTTGAGGCATAGCAAATTGGTGGAATGGGAAGCAAACAGCAAAGCTAATCCTCTGCAGCTAATTCTCTATTGAAGAAACAGAGGAGAGGCTGTCAAATGATAGAGTATTGACCTTACTTTGAATTGTGTAAATGAAAAGGACTAGGGGGAAGTGACATTATTTTATATTGCACACACAGCTTCACCTCCTCCCCTTTTCAAGGCTATAGTTCCTCCAAATGTGAACTTACAGGCCATTAGACAAGAGAAAAAAAATGAACCCCAAGTACTGTGTATTGTCATAGTTTACGTTTATAGAGCACTGTGCCAGCTACTTTACATATGCTGTCTCCTTTACTCCATATAAGAGCCTTGTGAATTATAGGTGTTGTTATCCTCATTTTGTAGATGAGGAAACTGTGACTTACATAAGTTAATAATCTGCTCAGACCTAGATTGTAAGGAAAGGTCTAGGATTCAGACCAGGTCAGTATGAGTCAGAAGCCCACAGTGTGAATCACTACCTTCTGTACTATATGTTTATCTTCTGTTACAGTATTACCTTATTATGTAGTTCTCCAGCTGAGGCCTGTGAAAGAAAGCCATTCTTCTTTGGGTAGTGGGGGTCTCTTCTGAAGAGGAAGAGAGTCAGTCACTCAGCAAAAAGGATGGATCTCAGGAGAAAAAAATAATTAAAAAAAAAAATACACCTGAGAGTCGGTCGCAGATGAGCAGAAGATTTGACATCTTCCTATGTGTATCCCTCTTTAAAAGTACATCTTCAGAGTTGCCTAGAAGGGTACTTGTGAGTGCTAGAAGCTAATAACAACAACAAAGGCCTCTCCATGAAGGACAGAAAGTGGAGATGAAGGAGAACCCCAAGCAGTTCTCTTAAGCTAATAATGAGGAAAATATTTCTAATAAGCCAAATTATGTAGATCAGGAATAATTATCTGTGCTCATTTCCTAGTTGTTTTCCCTCATTATTTAATGAGATTTCTTATACTGCTACAGCATGTACAAGAGTAAGAATGGGAATTCCAAAGTACTTGTGCCTCCATTCCCCATTATTGCCTTTGGCCAGGTTAACCATTCAATTCACAGCATTCTTTTACCCTGAGCCCCAAGATAGCCTCAGCATCTGTCTTGCCCAGCTTGAGGATGTTACAGTATCTCTTTTCCCCTCCCCAAATTATGGTATATGTACTCAGTAGGAAACAGTTTTTCCTTTTAGTTGTAGCCTTTGAAAGTCTGTTTTATTTCATTAAAGTATGACTTATTTTTGTGCTGCTACAGTAGTACCAAAGTAGCAGCTGTTACTGGCTTTAGTAGCTGCTAACCTGGCAATGCCATCATCTCCTAGCTGTCCATCAGGGCAATATAGATCTCCCTCTTCGGAAGGAAATGCTGACATGGAAGGAGTAGAACTTTCTAGGTGTGGAGTGGAGCAGGGAGGACAAGGAGGGACATCATACCTAGAGAGGAAGATGAAAAGCAAACGTAAGCCCTGTCACTTTTGTTTATACTAATGTGAGTCTAACTCCTAGATTTTCAGCTTTTTGAGGGCAGGATCAACAATTTCAGTAAGTATTGCTGAATAATACATATTGAATAAAACTGCATTCCAGTAAATAAATGGATAACATGGCCAAGCCTTCTTATCCATAGTCTTTTATAATCACCATGGAATGCTGAGGCACTTGAGCAAAATGAGGTAGTTTCCTATTTCAAAAGTATTCATCATTCTACTGTTGCAAGGTCAAAATAGTATATTAATTACTGTCTTAACCCATTTATGCTGAACGTTGCAAATTTTTTTGTGTGAAAAATCAGATCTTGGAGATGACCTTGAGCAACAGGATACAAATAACTCCCACAAGCTTAGCATCCTAATAATGGAACACTAGGCATAAATGGGTTAATACAGATGTGTCTGACATAGTCCAAAAGGCAGGACATATATGCCAAATTGCAACATATTAATATAGAGACAACAGTTATGATTCTAGATAATGCTTCTTGATGATAGATTATCCTGTCCTTTACAGATTTTTTTTCCCCATCGGGCAGTTCTTGGCCTGCTTATTTCATCTGTTGCTACAGAATATAGGACCTTTACTTTCCCCATAAGGATATCAGCATAAAAAGGCCCCAAAAGTTTTCTCACTTTTACCTTGGCCTTCCCAACAAACACAAAACCAGTGAAAATTACCAAAATTACCCTAGCTCTTTTCATCACATGGGTATACAGTGCTGTTCTTTCTTGGGAAAGGGAAGGAGAGAAAATGTCTAACTTTGGTTTAAATTGAATTTGAGGCAAAGGTAGAAAAACAGTGGTTTAGAACTGTTCTTTTCTGGAGTACCTGACTTTCTTAGACATTGATGCCTTTGCACTTTATCTACCCAGAGTACACTCCTCTTTTTCCAAGTCCGTGTGGCAACTTCCATTATCCTTCAAACTTAACCTGTTCTGTGAAGCCTCTCCCCTGCCTTCCTGCCAAAGGAAAGTTAGCCTCTTTTTCTGTTCACATAACATCTTGACATACCTCTCCGATGGCATTTGTCACAGTGTATGGAATTATTTATTTACAGATCTATTTCCCCCAACAGACTGAACTCCCTCAGGGCAGAGATTTTATTTTATTCATTTGTTTATACCAACACCTCACACATAGTAGCTGTTAAATAAATGCTGTCATATTGAGTTGAATCTTTATGCAACTATTATATCTCTCTAAGGTGAGTTACAATGAGATCATGAAAGAGGGTACAGTATTTGATATGGAGTAAATTACAATATATGCTTCAGCCTTCTAGACACTGGTTTTGTCATTCAGATATATAAATTATAAGCAAAGTCACATGGACTTCTAAGGCTACACAGAAGAAAATGTGCATATAGAAATGCTCCACATACATGGAACAGACCAAGGCAGATCAAGAAGAGGGAACTTTTACCCTGCGCTGGTCCTGTGTTTCATGCTCTGCTAGAAGTATTGGTCCTTCTTAACCTCTTAGTGCACATGGGGTTACCATAAAATATATATGAGTCAAGCTTCAAACCAGGAAAAACAAGCACGATAATACTTTTGGAATGTATAACTTATCTTAGAAATTAGACCTTATACAATCTTAGGCAAAGATGGGGAAATAGGGCCACAGCAGGGAGTTGAAGGTTCAGGGGAAAAAAATCACCGATCGGCCCTCCGGAAATAATGGCATAGTTGGAATTTGCAGGGAAATCTAGACACCAGGCACATTTAGGTGCTAGAGTGGAACTATGAAAGGATTAGGGGTGAGAAGGTAGCTGGTGTTATGGTGTAGAAGTCAGTAGAAGGCTGTTGCCTCTGCATAGCTATTGCTTCTGTAAGTGTGCTACCACCTGTTTGGTGGTGTGCTTGGAGATACTGGTCAGCAGGGTTGGTAGTTCTAGACACAAACAGAACAAGGAAGCACAAGGACAAAGTGAAACCGAGCAGCATTTCTACCTCTTACTCTCACCACCTCTAACCACAGCAAGCTTCAGAAAGTCATGGCAGCTACTGCACTCCCAGCATCCAAATCTCACACAAATTTCTCTTGTGGCCAATTGTAGCCCACAGCCATAAAGGGAAGTGGATTCTAAGAAACTTAATTCTTGTTAGCTAAGTTGACACGGTATAAGCCACTATATTATACTTCTAAATTTTGTAAATTGAATTTAGTTTCAATTTTAGAAGCAATACTCATTTGACCAGGAAAAAGCAGAGGTAAGAAACATATATTACTTTATATTTTTTTAAAGCATTATCAAGTATTGCCTAGTAACATACTAACTAGCACACATTTCAGAAACAAATTATTGATTGTAAATGCTAACTACTACAGAAGATTTTAAGGTGATCATACAAATATTTCTTTGTCTTCTGATGGTCAATACAGAATGTAAGTACAATTTTTAAAACATCTCTTGAGATCTTCTGAAGAAGGATCGAAGAAGAAAAATATTTACTATACACTGCACCAAGAACTTGTGTGTGTTATTTCATTGAATTCATATACCAAACCTGTGAGGCTCCTAAAAGTGAAGTAACTCAAGATCAAATTCAATCAAATTCATATAAAAGGTTAAAAATTTGCCGAGAATTTAGGGTAATTTACATCTCAGTCAGGTTATCTTTTTCTCTTGACTTAGTTTTATCCTACTTTTTAAAATTTTTTACTGACAGGATAACACATAAAGTAAAATGAACTAATCTTTTTTTTTTTTTTTTTTTGAGATGGAGTCTCACTCTGTCACCCAGGCTGGAGTGCAGTGGCGCGATCTCGGCTCACTGCAAGCTCCGCCTCCCGGGTTCACGCCATTCTCCCACCTAAGCCTCCTGAGTTGCTGGGACTACAGGCGCCCGCCACCACACTCGGCTAATGTTTTGTATTTTTAGCAGAGACGGGGTTTCACCATGTTAGCCAGGATGGTCTCCATCTCCTGACCTGATGATCCGCCTGCCTTGGCCTCCCAAAGTGCTGGGATTACAGGCGTGAGCCATGACACCCGGCCAAATGAACTAATCTTAAGAGTACAACTTAATGAATTTTCACATATCTATGTATACATCTGTGTAATCACCATGCAGATAAAAATAGAGCACTTTTCCAATATCCTTGATTGATTTTTCCTTGGGCCTTTTGTACTTCTAGGTAAATTGCCATATGTATTTATATTTTTTATTACAATGAATAAAAAAATTCTTAAAAATATGCTGGGAGGAAGTGAACATTCGCAGTAAAGTAAGAATGTTAAATAATGTGTCCCATAACTGCTTTGAATGACATCTACTTATGTCACTTTCTCTTTCTGCTTTTACCCTAAAACAGGTAATCAGATCCTGTCCCTTGGGAGCCTCTCAAAAGATCAGATTTATCCAATGAAACTCAAGGGCATCTCCATCTGCTATTCAGCTCTCAAGTCTGCCTTGTGTGGAAATTATGTCAGCTTTGGCGTCTTCAAGTTGTATGGGGACAACCATTTTGACAATGTACTCCAGGCCTTTGTCAAAATGCTGCTGTCAGTGTCCCACAGTGACTTGCTAGTAAGCAATCATGCATCATGGGAGTCTTTGTATGAAATGTGAAGTAACACCACCACAGGCCTGGAAGTGTTATAATGCAGTCCAGGGAGTTAGCCTAGAACATTTTATGTTTTAAGACAGCATACTTGATCTAACTTACAGAATTTGGAAAACTATAGTGGCTTTTTTTGTTTTTAACATCTCTGCCTGATTATGCAGAAGCCAATATGTGCCCAATGTCGTCACAGTAATTACTTAAGTAACATAGCCAAATCATGCTCAGGCTTCGTTCAGGCTTTCCCACCTGCTCCCGCCCAAGGTTACGAGTAAAATCTGGAAGGCCTTTGTTAGTCAACCTGTGTAAGAAATGCTCCTTGATCTCCTAGTGAGCTAGTCCATCATCTTCCACCTTTATAAACTAATCTTGGAATGGCCACATCTCAAGCCAAAGTTATTAAGCTTCCTTGTAGTAGAATGGAATGATCATTGAAGGATATATCTGTTAGACAGAAATCACAAAATAGAAACTTGAGTCACATCAGCCATATGTTAATATCACCTCATCGAAGAGTTACTTCACTGCAGTTAAAGTCCACCAAGACAACTGGTATGGTTCCAAGAATTTTTCTCTATTTTTTTATTCTAATAGTCAAGCAAACCTTCAATCCAGTAATTCTCAAACTTGAGGGTGCATAAGACTCTCTTGTGTGTTAAAAATGTACGTTTCAGGGCCTAAACTAGAGCTTGTCATTTAGTGAATCTGAAGTGGGAATCAGGCAACTGCATTTTTGGCAAGCACCCCAAGTGATTCCTATTGAGTTACTCTTAACATCACTTTAAGAAATGCTCCTCTGGTTTCTCTCTTTTTTTTTTTTTTTTTCTTTTTTTTTAGAGGTGGGGTCTTGTTGTGTTGCCCAGGCTGTTCTTAGACTCCTGGGCTTAAGCAATTCTCCTGCCTCAGCCTCCCAAGTAGCTGGAATTACCAGCATGAACCTCCATGCCCAGCTTCTCTAATTTATCATACAAGTGTATTTCTTTGATACTGGTTTGGATTGCATTTGAGATTTTTCAGGTATCTTTCTCATGTACTTATCTTTTGCCTGTAGTGTATGGTAAATATTAAGCCCTTTACCAAGTTATTATTTAGTTAGATGGATTAGCATTATATTAGTACAACAGACTATGGTGCCAAATCCCATTATAACAGCAAATGTCTTTGTGTTTAAAAAACCAACAAAAAAAGGTTTCCTAGCCACTATTAAGCACTGTCCAGTGTTAAGTATTCCAATCCAGAAAAATAATTCACACAGTCTTCTAAATGTCATATTGCAGGGATTTTACTTTTAAGTGCTAACCATGTAAGGTAAAGAGATCAAGAGATTCCTATCAGAACCCCTTTAAATGCTGGATTGGGACTCATTATGTCATTTGCTCTATATATTTATTGACCTTGTGTTTAAATAAGTTTACAATTTCCAGTATTATAAATGACAATTTTCACTGGACTGTAACATGTATTTTTCTTCCCTGTGGCCTGACATTTAGTATGTCTCTGTCCTGTAGCAATACCGGAAACTGAGCCAGTCTTACTATCCACTTCTGGAATGTCTCACTCAGGACCACATGAGCTTCATCATCAACTTAGAGCCTCCTGTACTCATGTATGTTCTCACGTCTATCTCAGAGGGACTCACTACTCTTGGTAAGGATCATAGAGGACATTGTTTCCATAGGAAAAACTTGATTATGGGCTTTTAATGTATGTGATTATTGAGACTATCATCCTACAAAGGGGAAAAGATATTGTGAACCCAAAGTGAAAGGTTATTTTATAACCATTACTTGCAAGTGGGAAAAATTATTTCTTCATATTTTGATACATAGTCAGTTATGCTTTCATCAGCTTTACTGAGGTATAATTTACATATAATAAAATTCACTGATTTTAAGTGGACAGTCCAATGAGTCCTTGTACAAATGTGTACATGTACACAAACATAGCCACCGCGACCAGTGTGTAGTATATTTTCATCACCACTAAAAGCTCTTTTTTCCTCCTTCTAATCAATCCCTTCCCCCTACCTCTCACCCCAGGGAACTAATGCCTGCTTTCTCTCACAGTAGTTTGCCTTTTCCAGAACTACATATAAGTGGAATTATATAATATGACGTTATTTGTGTCTGGCTTCTTTCATTTAGCATGGTGATTTTGAGATTCATTCACATTATTTTGAAAATCAATTAGTTTATTCCTTTCTGTTGCTGAGTATTATTCCGTTGTATGGATTATTAGTTTGTTTATTCACCAGCTGATGGACATGTGGGTTGCTTTCATTATTTGACTATTTTGAATACAGCTATTATGAACATTCCTATACAAGTATTTATGTAGGTAAATTTTTTTTTATTTCTCTTGGGTGCATACCTAGAAGTGGTATTTCTAGGTTATATGCTAAGTGTATTTTTAACATATAAGAAACTAACAAACTGTTTCCCAGAGTGACAGTGACAGCATTTTGCTGTCAACAACAGTATATGAGGATTCCAGTTGCTCTGTATACTTGCTAACATTATTAACATCTTTTTCATCTTACCCATGATAGTGGGTGTGAAGTAGAATCTTCAAGTTGACTAATCTTTTCTTCTGTGATACCTAATCTTCTATTAATACTGTATTTGGGGCTGGGCACGGTGGCTCAGCCTGTAATCCCAGCACTTTGGGAGGCTGAGGCAGGTGGATCACCTTAGGTCAGGAGTTCAAGACCAGCCTGGCCAACATGGTGAAGCCCCATCTCTACTAAAAATACAAAAAAGTTAGCCAGGCCTGATGGTGGGCACCTATAATCCCAACTACTCGGGAGGCTGAGGCAGGAGAATCACATGCACCCAGATGCACCCAGGAGGCATAGGTTGCAGTGAGCCGAGACTGCACCATTGCACTCAGCCTGGACAACAAGAATGAAATTCTGTCTCAAAAAAAAAAAAAAAAAGATTTTAGCTGAGCATGGTGGCTCGTGCCTGTAATTCTAGCACTTTGGGAGGCCAAGGCGGGTGGATCACCTGAGGTCAGGAATTCAAGCCTAGGTTGACCAACATGGTGAAACCCTGTCTCTACTGAAAATACAAAAAATTAGCCAGGTGTGGTGGCACCTGCCTGTAGTCCCAACTACTCGGGAGGCCAAGGCAGGAGAATCGCTGAGGTTGCAATAAGCCAAGATGGTGCCATTACACTCCAGCCTGGGCAACAAGAGCAAAACTCCATCTCAAAAAAAAAAGAACTGCATTTGTTTTCATTTTAGACATTATATTTTTATTCTCTAGAATTATTATTATTCTTTTTTAAGACAGAGTCTCCCTCTGTTGCCCATACTGGAGCGCAGTGATATGATCTCATCTCACTGCAACCTCCACCTCTCAGGTTCAAGCGATTCTTGTGCCTCAGCCTCCCGAGTAGCTGAAATTACAGGCTTGCGCCACCATACCCAGCTAATTTTTGTATTTTTAGTAGAGATAGGGTTTTGCCATGTTGGCCAGGCTGGTCTTGAACTCCTGACCTCAAATGATCCGCCCACCTCAGCCTCCCAAAGCGCTGCGATTACAGGCATGAACCACCATGCCTGGACTTCAATATTTTAATATTGAATTTTTAAATATTTTCCATTTTCTCCTCATCAGGTTTATGTTTTTTTAACATTGATCATATGTATAAGAGTTATAATAGGCCAGGTGCGGTGGCTCACGCCTGTAATCCCAGCACTTTGGGAGGCCAAGGCAGGCAGATCACAAGGTCAGGAGATTGAGACCATCCTGGCTAACACAGTGAAACCCCGTCTCTACTAAAAATACAAAAACAAAATTAGCCAGGCCTGGTAGTGGGCACCTGTAGTCCCAGCTACCCAGGAGGCTGAGGTGGGAGAATGGCATGAACCCAGGAGGCAGAGCTTGCAGTGAGTCAAGATCACACCACTGCACTCCAGCCTGGGTGACAGAGCAAGACTCCATCTCCAAAAACCGAAAGATTTCTAATAGCTATTTTAAGGTCCTTGTCTACTGATGTGATTTCTGGATCTGTTTCTATGGATTTTTCTCCTTATGGGTCATGTTTTTTTCATTCTTAATATAACTTGTTATTTTTGAATGTGTGCCAGACATCATGAATTTTACATTTTGAATTTTCTGTGCTAGATTTTGGTTTTCATTTTTTGGAGACAGAGTTTCGTTCTTGTTGCCCAGGCTGGAGTGCAACAGCATGATCTCGGCTCACTGCAACCTCCGTCTCCCGGGTTCAAGTGTTTCTCCTGCCTCAGCCTCCCGAGTAGCTGGGATTACAGGCATGCACCACCACGCCCAGCTAATTCTGTATTTTTAGTAGAGACAGGGTTTCTCCATGTTGGTCAAGCTGGTCTCGAACTCCCGACTTTGGGTGATCTTCTCGCCTCAGCCTCTCAAAGTGCTGGGATTACAGGCATGAGCTACCACACTCGGCCAATTTTTATTTTCTTAATGTGGATTTTATTCTATCCTGCAGTTGAATAACTTTTGGATCAGTTTGACTCATTTGAGATCAGATGGCAACTCTTATTTTGGAGTAATTGGGCCCCACCACTAAAGTGTTAGCTCTGTGAGGACACTCCGGTGCTCCATGTGCTATGAAGTTCCTCCACAAATGATTTCCAGCTTGTAATCTTCAGGAATTATTTGGCCTATTACTTTTCAGTGGTTCTTTCCCCAGCCTTGGGAGTTTCTTCTCATACTTTTTTTTTTTTTTATAGATGGAGTCTCTCTCCGTCGCCCAGGCTGGAGTGCAGTGGCGTGATCTCGGCTCACTGCAGGCTCTGCCTCCCAGGCTCAAGCAATTCTCCTGCCTCAGCCTCCCAAGTACCTGGGATTACAGGCATTTGCCACCACACCCAACTAATTTTTTTGTATTTTTAGTAGAAACGGGGCTTCACCTTGTTGGCCAGGCTGGTCTCAAACTCCTGACCTCAAGTGATCTCCCAAAGTGCTGGGATTACAGGCATGAGCCACTGCGCCTGGCCTCTTCTCATACTTTTATAGGTCACTCTTCAGACAAACACTGGAGAGGACTCCCTTGGAGATCTGTAGAACTCTCTTACATAGGTCCCACACTCTGGTACTCTGTACTACAAGTTTTAGCTGCTTTAGCCTTCCCAGATTTCAACCTTTTATTCTCCAACTCACTGAGACTGCTTGGCTTTGTTTGGGTTTTCCCTTACTAGCCTGCAATCTGGAAACTGCTTTGGGCAATAAGCTTGAGCAATTGTTTTCCTCCTCTCTAGTTTAATGGTCCTGTACTGCTTGTTGTACAATAATTGAAAACCATTGTTTCGTATAATTTGTCCTGTTTTCTAGTTGTTTGGCAGGAGGGCAAATTCTCATAGCAGTTAATTCTTCATGGAATAAGAAGAAATTCTGTCTTCTATTATTACAGTTTAGCTTGACATTCTTTTATCTCACGTCATAGTAATACTTGAAGATTTTGAATTATTTGCAGGTAGCTATGTTATTTTCGACCTGTGATCTTGTTAAGACTTAGAATCTGCATTTTAACAGACTCTCAAGGGCGTCTTGACAAAGTGGCATTATGAAGGGAATACTGAACTTCGATTTAAGTCCCAGCACTGCCACTTACTACTTGTGTGACCATGGGCACATACTCCATGCCTGCTGCTGTCATAGGTGACTCATGTGGATACTTGACTGTTTTCATTCTCAAAACCATTTGTGTACCAAAAGCAGGTTAGGTACTCTAAGAGCACTCTTTATTCTTATTTTCTACTTATTTTCTAGTTTATTCTTACTTTCTACTTGTAAGTTTCTGAAGGGCAGGAACAGTCTATTACTACTTTACTTCCAGTTCCTAGCATTATAGTAAGTGCTCAGTAAATATTTACTGAATGCATTAATTAGGTAATATTATTTTCATTGTACAAATGAGGTAAGCTGTGGCTCAGAGAGGTGAAACAAGTTGCCTAAGATCATAAAACTAATAAGTGAATGACCTAGGAGTCATTCAAACTCTAAAACCCATTCTTCCTGACCACACTACCCTGCTAGATCTACCTGATAAAGGTCACAGCTTTGACAGCTAGAGGCCTGGTAGAGATTATTTTCTTTGTACATATTGGTGGTTTTATCTTCAGCCTCTTGTATTGTTGCAAATTCACATTGTAACCACTGGATAACTCTGGCAAGTGAATTGGGCCCTGTGTCATTAAGAAAGGGGACTATTTAGAATGTTGAAAGTAACCACTTGGATTTTTCCTTTCCCAACAATGATACATTTTAAAAAGAGGAATTTATTGGTATTGTTTGGATTATAGGCAGGTTTCATTTCTGTTGTTGCCTTGATGGAAAAAATGAGGAGGTACAGAAAAGTTGAATCAGTGATAGAGTGATGACTTGCCTAATATTGCGAAAATGATTTTAAAATTTCAGTTAATTTCATTCATTAGCATTTTTAATTTCATGCTATCTTTTTAATCATCCATCCATTCTCTGCCCACCCCAACCCCAGACTCTTATACACAGACACCAAGCACAGTGTCTTTAAAAATCTGCTCTTACTGATGGCTCTGAATTCCTTCATTCAGTAATTATCAGTTGTGCATATACTATATACCAAGTACCTTTCTAAACCTTGGCAGTACTGAAGGAAACAAGACAGATAAGATTTCTGCT